GGGGGGGGGGGGGGTCTCGCCCAGTGTGTGATTCAATGTAGAACCGCATCTGGGATAGACGTTTAACACCGGACAAAGGAATCAAAGAACAGAACATCCTTTAAATACATGACTAACGAGGGACTGATGTCAATCCCCGTGTTACGTGTGTTCCTTCCTGTGAGTCTTTATTTGGTTAAATAAAGATTGTTCCCCATGATATTCGCTGTCGTCTCCGCAGTCCTTCGTTCTGCAGTAGCAACCGTGGCAACTATGAATAAGTCCTAGTAGCCTATCTTTTAAATAGGTAGTAACTAGAGAACAAGTTCTAGTAGCTGGTGAATAAGTACTAGTACCAGTGAGAACTCCCACAGCGGGTTGGGTGGGGGGTTTATTTGGGGGTGGTTTGTATTTTAAAAAATTTATAAATAAAAATTATATATATATATATATATATATATATATATATATCGTCACCTTGCAATTATAAGGTTCAGTCTGCATTCTGAGCAGTTTAGAGATATTGAGCTTCAAAGATTTTGCATTCCATATAGCAAAAATGAATTGGGGAACAAGTCTCTTTCATACATAAAAATGACAAAGACCCTAAATGTATTCTAAATGTACAATATCAAAATCCTCTCAAATTTGTAAATGGGGATTTTTGGAACAGGTCAAATGCAGATAGAACCTTCTAATTCTAAAAAAATGATATGGAATTATAAAAGGTTCCTTATAATGGAATTATAAGGTTCTATCTTGCAAATCATTAATTGACGCAATAAATTTCAAGAAACACAGTTAACTTATAATTTGTTTTAAAATATAAAATTAGTGTTGTAACAATATGTCAACATGTATGAGAAAGGTAAATTTAAAGCTTTCTATAACATGTATTTCATATTTTAGGATGAATAATTTTTTTCTTGTTCAAGTTATACATAAAAGGCAGTGCTAAATACTTTGTCCTGTGCAGATGTTAATTTTAGGTAGGAATAGGGTGGGTAATTAAACACATTATTGCAGGAAAAGTTTAATCAGCCACTTTAATACATCTGACCAGGACTTTATTCCACAGAAAGTGGGACAGGTAAAATGGCTTTCTCTCTAGAGATCAGTATGACTGAAATAACAGGCTTAATGATTTCAACTTAAAAACTTGAACTTAATGACTTAATATCACTCATCTTGGCCTCTGAGATGATGCTCTGTTTGGGGAGTACCCTTGGTTTGGGTAAAATGAATGTAGATGGCAAGCTTCTCATGTGTTTGCTTGATCCTCTTAGGTCTACTTTAACTCAAGGCTGTGCATGTGATTTTGTGTAATGAAGAGTATATGGACACTGGTCAAACACAAGCTGAGACACTACAGAGAATGGAACCTGTTTGTACTAAAACATCTTGGAACATGTCTGAAAGTCATAGAAATCTGTTCTCTTAATTTTTATGATCTCATATGGGTTGTTCCTGTTCAGCTTCAGTAAAACACGCAAGAAAGACAGTGGTTAATATAATTCAGACACTGCCATTGCCTTTTCAATATGGCCATGCATTAGGGCCTGATACTGAGCTCCTGTTCTCGTACTCGTACTCGTTAAAATGCCCCGATTCCAAATGCTGATACCACACAGCATGTGATAAGTGCCATATTCAGACAATGAAACACCGACAACAGAACAACAGACAGCAGAATGGAGTAATTAGAGATTAAGGATGTCTACGAAGTATATGTATGCAATGAATATAATGTTAAACATTCAGTATTAACGCCTGTATAGCTGATGTGCGCGAGTTGATAAGCAAAGCGCGCTGAGTGGATTGAGCGCGCAGCAGA